AGAACTGGAAGCCTTCTGTGGTTGCCATCAGAGTCTCATTGTAAAGACTATCACTGAATCCAGTACCCAGTCCTGATCACAGAAGAGAGGAAATCATTGCAGAAAATAAGGAACAGAAACACAAAGGCATACATTTGCAAACAGAAGAAGTAATTTAATGGAAATGTAATTAATAGGAACAGAGAGGCAATGCGTGGGATATTCTCAGTCCCTTATCCCCTGCTCTCTCCCCCTAACACATATCCAGTAGTAGCAGTCTCTGGGGTCTTTGCTCCAAATGAAAGTCCCTGCCCAGTCCTATCTGGGGCCTAGAGCAACACAGCAGTGGGGAAAGCCTGCAGAAAAACTGCAGCTTCAGTTTCACTGTCCCCAGTTGTACCCCCAGCCTTGCAAATACACCTCACATCCTTACACAGGGAGCCCCGTGAGACACCTCAACCCCAGCACAGAGCAAAGCTTCACCAGAGATTTCACTCTCATCTCACTGTCGTTGGAGTCTCAACAATAAAATGGGACAATGAAATCTAGGTGAGGTATAGAAAAGAAAGTCAATTTTGGATGTCCCCGTTTTGGGTGTCAAAGGAAGATGTATTTTTCAGACTGGTCGTGCTCTGTGTCACCCAATTAAAGCTGCAAACTGGGATCCTGGGCATGTCTTTGCTGAGAAACTGTCTGCTTAAGCAGAAGCTCTTGAGGTTAAACAAATCTTTCAGATATTGAGGGACAGAACCACTCACACGTGTACAGCAACAGAGCTCCTGGAATTACTGCACTCTCTGGACCCACTGCAGATATTTGCCTCTTGGCTTTACTCTTCCTACAGTGTATACCCATTAGCACCTCTAATTAGAAAGGAAAATCACGAGTTCCATGTTATTTAAAAGATTATGCAGCATTCTGAACTACAGCACAATGTAATTATTTTTTAATAGCCACAGCTATTTCATGTATTTACTTTTAATGGTGTTTGAGTCATAAATTAATAGTAGAAAAGAAAAAGGCAAATCAGCACTTGACAGAGACTGCTTGTAAAAGAAAAACTGCAACGCTAACAACCGAGTGATCAAAAAGGAAGAGGGACTCACTAGTTTTCCTTGTTTGCTTTATTCTGGACTCCTTTTTATCATCTAACTCAGCCCCTTGGAAGTCAAGAAGGTCAAGGACAAATAAAAATGAGAAGAGTTGAATCGCAGCATCCCAGACTGGTTTGGGTTGGAAAGCACCTTAAAGCTCATCCATTTCCAACCCCTGCCACAGGCAAGGACACCTTCCACTTGGAGCAGCTTGCTCCAAGCCCCTGTGTCCAACCTGGCCTTGAGCACTGCCAGGGATGGGGCAGCCACAGCTTCTCTGGGCACCCTGTGCCAGCGCCTCAGCACACACCAGGAATATGTCTAAGACAAGTGTCCCTAGTCTCTGTGCATCTCACCCCCCAAAAATTGTTAACTTTTAATTAAAAATGTTTAAAAAATAGTCTTTTAAAAGACAATGAACTTTTGAAAGGATAAACAAATGTGCAGGACCCCATTTCTTATCCCTGGAAGGGCCGTTAACACTCCGAGGCAGATTACATGCTTCAGACAGATGTACTCATCCGACTCCTGGACACCAAGCTGTTCCCCACAGCACCTTCTTCTGGCTGTGCACCCCTTATATTTCATCCCCAGGCTTTTTCAGCAGAGTGAGAACCTGAATTTTCCCTCCTCCTGGTACTGCCAGCACAGGAGCAGGCACTCAGTGCTCCGGGCTCTAACTTCAGCTTGTCTTCTGTCCACAGAAAGCCCGGCTTGCAAGGATTCGAGTGGCCAAGACAGGCAGCTCCAATGCCTACCTTCACAGCAAGCGCAATGGCCTCCTCAATGAAGCCCTTGAGCTGACGGTACGTGCAGAACCACAGAGCTTGAGATGTTCCCTGTTCCCACTCCTGTCCCTGGGCTCCTTCCCTTTCTCTCCCCATTGCCACCTCATTATCCAGCGCAGCATCCTCCCACATGGAATGGCGCTGTGTTTCTATGACACTCTCATGTGCTGTATATGCTGTGTGGAGGGAGAGCTGGAATCCAGCTGCAAGATGGGATGGGAGGAAGCAGCTTCCTGTAGTCCTCCTGGAGACAGGGAAGGATCTGGCCTTCCAGCAGGTGCCATATGCACAGTTCCCTCAAATCCCTATGCGTGATGGAGCTGATTTATACAGCCCAGGGACTGCCTATAACTATCCACGCTCTTCCAATATACAGTGAGTTATTTTCAAGAGTTTCTCTCTACTGTGGACTATCTGGCCATGCCCAACAGCAAAATATTCCCTAGTTCTTCTTCCAGGCAGTTTGGTGGTGGGTTTATTTTTAACAGAAAGGCCTCTGGAGGCTAATACTAGCTGTTCATGAGAAGAAAAGTTCTAAGTGCATTCGACTGCTCAGCAGAACCAGCTGAAACAAGAGGAGGTTATTACATGAAGCCTGATCCACACCAGAGGACGTATTAGCACATCTCATGGATTTAAGTTCAAATACATCAGCCTTTTGTGCACGTGTGGAGCAAAGAGTGAGATGAAGGGTGCGTAACAGTCATCAGAGCCGCCCAGCCCTTGTTCATGCATCCTTACTTGGGCCCTCATCCTTCACATGTACACTGTTTTCCCCTTGCACTTCTAAAATCAAAGGCTTTTCAACTCATGGTGAAAGATGCTCACTAGGACCTGAGCCAACTCCTACCCCAGCTCAGTGGGTGCAGCACACAGAGGGAAATCAGGCAGCACCATGTTTTTCATGTAGGATGCTCCTCAGTGCAGACCAAGGCAGAGGACCCTTGCCCTTTACAACAGAAAGAGCTTTTAAGCTGACTCTAAAAAAGCACTTCACATGAAGTACAGACTTGGAAGGTAGGGTGCCCAGAGCAGTTTCTGTTCTCCCCTCCAAAACAAGTTTGATCCTTCCGACTACACATCTCACGTTGTCTCCTGCTCTGCAAGTGGCAGCAACACTCAGAAAAATCTGTTTCTTGAACCATATGTTGCAGTTGAGCAGTTCAAGAAACGTTTCTTTACCAAGAAGCAACCAGGAAGACTGGTCACACCTCGTCCAGAGCCTTCTCCCCAAGGAAGGAAAGGCTTGGGATGGGTGACAGCTCAGCTGAGATTCTGCTGTTCCATTACCCAGGAACATGTAAAAATGTGACTACAAATTTAGTTCTGATTTCTAGTTTTTAAAAACACCAGCAGGGACGCTCAGTTTGCACTTGATCTTCCAGCCTGTCATCCCAACAAGAACCTCCTCACTTCTCTCATCAACCAAAGCTCCCTGCCAAGACCACTCGGGGAGGAGCAGCTGACGCACTGATGCTCAAGTCCAAAATGCATGAGGTGGAGAGAAATATTTGGCTGAATGGGTTCGTTTCCTGGCACTTGCCAGTGGAAAAGGGGTCATTTTGCTGGCTACAAAGCTACTGGAGACACAGGGAGGAAAACAAAAACATTCCTAAAGAGGTTCTAGAGGATTTAGTGTGAGGTGTCCCTGCCCATGGCAGGGGGGTTGGAACTCGGTGATCTTAAGGTCCTTTCCAACCCTAACTATTCTATGATTTTTTTACCCATTAATAACTCAACTTAGATATATATTACCACCTACAACAGGAGTTTTCCCAAGCTTTTCTGGGTGCTTATATCTGGTGGGCTTATAGCTCTAAATGCTGACATGAGCCTCCCACAGCCCAGTGAGAGCCACAAATCCAGCTTTGAAAAGTACTGAACATTGTGTACAGTATTTTGTTAAGGCATTTCCTGTAGAAATAGCCAAAAGCAAAGGGGATGGGGAAGGAAGAATTACCATCCACCTGTGACAGACAGCAATGTAATTCACTAAAACAAGAACCTTGCCAAAGCCATGCCTGGCACCTGCACAACTACCTGAGGATAAGCTGCATACCTGAATCAAGAACTGAGACCTGTCTCTCCACCCACAGGCAGTGGCATTAATTACAGGGCATCTTTTATTGGAAAGGTACACCAGACCATTTTAACTCCACAAGGCAAGATTTTATGTCCTTTCATTTTATGCAGGAGAACAAACTATTCTTAAAGAGCACAAGATGTGAATGACAGCGCAGTCTAGCCAGCCAAATTTTTTAAGCTGTAAAAACACATGAAGGAGTGTGACTTCTGCAGTCGCTATATTAGTGACCAGAAAGATTATCTACATACTGTGCATATCCATCAGTCAGATTAGCATCAAACTGCTTCATCAGTCAGATAAGCATCCCATTTTGATACCTTGCCCAGGACTCATGCTAACTGTAATGGACTTCACACAGCCAGGCTGCCATAGGGTTGGTTTGTTACGCAGCAGTAATTCCAACTGCAATTACTACATGGCCATCAGTAGGTATTATCCCTTTCCTCAAGAGCAATCCCACAGTACTGTGATCAATGTAGAACTGGCTTACAGGAGCCCAGCAGATTGCCCCTCAGTGTGACACCTTGAGGGTTCACCCAAGGAGACAACTGCCCCAGAACATGTCCTGGCTGTGGCTCTGCAGTCAACCTAACAAATTGGGAAGTAAGGACTGCTCAAGAGCCTGGAACATGTGCCAGGATGTCCTTTCATTAGCACCAGAATGAATACACTGACACCATCTTTCAAGGGAACAGCATGTCTTCAGCCTGTAGCCTTGCCTTAAAATAAGGAAAACCAAAGAGGATTCATGTAAGGACAGCAGCAGGAAGGAGTTCTGCTCCTAGCACAAATACAGACTCCTGCTTCGGAAACATGTGGATTTGTGGCATTTTGCATTTGTCATCTAGAGAGGAAGTACTCAGACAGTTTTCTTCTCATTTAGAGAGATTTTTAGTGGGCTTTATGTCAGAAGTGCTCAAGGGATGGTGAGCTTCTTCCCATGACAGCAGCCTACAATATCGTCTTAGTGTTAATCTCCTTGTACAGCTTGCTGAAATTCCCTTTTAGCTAAAATGCTAGGAGATGTATATCCTAAGAACAGCAGGTTGAGAGGTCTTGGGCCTTTTCACAAGCAGAATCTGCTAGGCCATAGATAAGGGTTATGGCCGTTCTCATGGGAATGGCGAGTGGAACCACTGAACCAGTTCATCTCAGTTCACCAGTGTCCAATTTTGCATGCCGAAGCACTAAGTAGAAGAGAAAAAGGGGAAGTATTTTGGATTTCAGAACTCACACTAGTGTGTTTCAGTCTCCCTGCAAGCAACCAGCAGTTCACTGAATGTCTTCCAAGAACAAACTGAATGGTAGCTGGCATCAGATCCTTGCAAAACTGGCATCCCAGCTCATAAAGCAAACCATCTCCTCTCCTCCCCCCCACCAGCTTTTTCATTACAGCCAGACTCTTCTAATGAAGACACAGATTTTGTTTGCCTGCAGGAATGTAGGTACCATTGCTGCAATCTCTATAGGTACACATTCCTCAACAGTACTATTAAAGTCCAAGCAGTTCTGTGATGTTGGCACTCTCACTGTCCCAGGGCAGCAGTTCTGTAGATCTCATTCTTAACTCACGTGGAGGATGCTCTCAGTGGTTGCATACTCTTTGTTTCTGAAAACACTGAGCTGACTGAAGAAAAGGTACAACTCACAGTCACCGATCCTATACTTTATTCCTGGTCACTGCCATCCCCTGATCCATTCCCATCAGCAGCAAGCTAAGCCTTGTGATGGAAGGCAGCAGGAAAGACTAAAGCTGTGCTGCCAAAATTTAACAACTGGCTTCGGTCTTCTGCCAGAGGTACGGAAGCCCTGTCTTTGCTTTCAGACCCCATTTAGATGTCCTCTCAAGCAAATCCTCATAAAAAGATACTGTTTGCAATACGTGCTCTTTCTCTCTCTCCTTTTCCAGTGTTTTAGTGCAGCCTCGTATCTGCTTTAGGGCTTGCAAGGACCTCCATGGGAATTCCTTCACCACGGAGTCAGTAATGTCAGCAGGGTATGAACAGGACCTGTGGGTGCATTAACTCACCAACAGGACTGTTAATAAGAAAAATGGAACTGATTTATTTTTTAGGCCACTTCTAAAAATACTTCTGGGAATACTCATCTTCCAAAACAACAACAACAAAAAAATCCATAACCTGCCTAAGAAGCATTCTCATAGGAATCTATTAATTCTGTATACATTCAGTCAGCTTCCTTCACGTACCACTTCAGCTGTGCTTTGGCATCTGGCAGAGACAGAGTTACTCCTTCACTTAAGGATCACAGAACCAGCATCCAGAACACACATTTGCAGTGAATCACCAGGACACAAGGGCGTATTTAAGAGCAAGGCTTTAAGCATAGATGAATGTAACCCCCTTGAGAGCAACAGTCTATGTCTTGGAATTTCTGCCAAGATGCTCTGCTGTGTCTCCCATCTCACTCATTTTCTATCTTGAGCAGTAAGATACTGATGGTTAGTGTCTAAGCAGAAATTCAAGCCATGCACATCCATTCTGCCTTTCAGATTTAGGCACAACAGAAGACACCAGGCACCCTTATGGAGCACAGAGAAACATCTTGCAACACCCTAATTGCTCTTTTAATGCACGTAATTCTCTTTGAAAATGCAAGTCACCAAAGACCCAGCTTAGAAAAACCAAACTGAATTTCAAGATCAGGAGCTGAAGTCTTCATAGTGAGAGAACATCCTTCAGACCCCAGGTCTTAAATCTGCCACCACAGACCAGAGAAAGTGAGAAAAATTATCCTGACTCTCCATTAGCACACAGACAACTCCAGCTGCTTCTTTGCCTTCCATTTCTGAGGTGTATCTGCTCATCAGATCATGGGGCAAGTGACATGCTATATTGTGAGGAATATAAGCATCTCATTCCACTGATAGAGTGTGGAAATAAAAGATAGAGTAATACAAAGTACAAAGTACAAAATACAAAAATAAGCACACACTGAACTCAAGCTCCTAGCCTCTTATCAACTTCTATTTCAGCTATTTTGAGCAGATCAGAAGCAGATCAAGTCCCTCAGCTTAACAAAAGCCCAGAGATTGGTTTAAGATCTGTAGCTTATCCTAACCACTAATAACACTACAGTCTGAACAGTCTCTTCCCCCAGTCACCATATAGACACATACTTGATGTTGAAGCCAAGAACAGACAAGCAAAAGCACCCCAATAAGTCTTTCCAAGCCAGAGTCCCTAAACAGAAATACCAAAAGCAGTTGCTAGGAGAGACCCCTCCTTTTAACAGTTTTTCAACTTAAACACTCTCAGCTGTAGGCAGTCCTTTCCCAGGTGGCCCAAGCTGCCTGCTTGACTCTCATCACACCCTGCTCTCTCAATTAGCTTATGACTTTGTTAGCCACATTTCAGCAGTTTGAGGACACAAGGGAACTAGGGGAAAGCTGGTCCCCCACTTGTACACGTTGCTGTACAACAAGCCGAGTACCTGGATTGCGAGGTCTTTGTACAGCTTGTCTTGTTCTGCCTTTGTGCTGAGTGATGCACAAAGGATTCCTGTACAGTTTGTAGGACTCTTGGGCACTGTGTTCCTAAAACACAAATCACAGTAAGCCATCCTACTGAGCAAAAGCCTCAATCCATAAGAAACTAAGGAAGATGGGACCTTCTTTCTCCAGGGTACTGCTGCCACATTTCATGTGAACATAAACCCTTTGACATGGCTGCACAATGCTTCTTCATTTGAAGCATGCTTGAAGAAGATAATTTTATATATCTATATACATATCACTCTAACTTACATAGCATCTGCCTGTTCCTCCCTTCTCCCTGCCTTTTCTGAGGGGTTACACACCTTCAGTCTGCACCAAACCCAGCCCTCAAGACCTGCTACAAACTCCCCATCAACAACGATATACACTGAGGCAGGCAAAGCACAGCCTCCTTTTAACACACTGCAGGTACAAAGTGTGGAAAACAACTGGTGATATCCATGAAGAGGAGAGAGCAAGCCAGGAGCCCTGTCTCTAGAAACACCATTACAAAGTCTAAAACATGAAGCTCAGGTCCTCATTTTGGATCTGGCATGCAGCTGTGACACAGGAGGCTTTGGAGGTAACACATACAAGTTCCAACAGGCCCAGCACTGCGCAGCCCTGAAGGTCAGAGCCCAGCTTTCAGCTAAGGGAAAGCAAGACAGCTTGTGTTTTGCCTCCTAACAGAGACAAAAGATCAGGGTACATCTGTTGGTATTCAAAGGTCATGTCAAGCTTAAAAGCCTTACTGCTTTTTGGATAAAAATCAAACAGCACCAGTTCTTTTTGGTTTTGCTTTTTTACCTTCTGCTTCCTGAGCCTTGACATCACGTATCAACAGCACTTCCCAGCTTTCCTCCTCAGCTACAAAATGCCTAGAAACACCCTGGGTTTGAATCAAAGCTGAGTTTCTCACCTGAGTTTACAAGCCAGATCGTTAAGGAAGGAAAGGCAACCTCCTGAGAGTCATGAGCAAAACCTGAGAGCTGCACCACTGACATTGTGATCCTTACCCCTATGAAAGCTAATGTTGGAAGTGCTGTTTGCTTGCTTGGTTTTACACCTGCTTTGGGTTTTGTTTTCCCCTCCCTTTCTATGGCTCTTCAGGGATCCACTGAAGATGAGCAGCACATGACTAAAGGCACCTCCTTAATTGAAAGCCAACATCACCACCTGCTGCACTGCCTGGAAAAAACAACCGTAAGTACCAACACAGTCCTTTTACATCTTACTGACTCCTTGAGCCTGGCCCAGGCTTCCTATGGGCAAGGCGTACAGACAGTATGGTCTGAAGAGGCTCTCAGACCTACTCAGTAGACCTTAAAGCTATGCCAGAGGGGCTGACACTCAAGCTCCTGATGCAGTGGGTTGAATGCACTTCTATTTCATTGTCCTCTTAAAAAGTAATAACAATTCCTGTGCAAAGGGATCACAATGTGATTATCTGCTACTCCACAGTCACCTGCACCAGCACCAAGTCAATAGTGAGTTGCTCAGTCAAGTTCACTTGAAGGCAAATAACTCTTCAGCGTGGGGTTAGGGAGATCCTATAAACACCGTGTACCTTAAGTTCTTCAGTGTTTCTAAAATAGAACTGAGCTGTATTTGTCTTGTGCTGTCAGTCACACCTCATATACTTGTCACTTGTGCTAAGTAGCAATAAAGAACAGTTCTGCTGCTTTGAAAGGAGGAAGATGCTGTCAGTGACTCCAAACTACAACCTGGTCACCAGTGCCAACAGGCTCGAAAAGAATTACCTTTAGCCCTTTATATGGCAGATGAACGCTCTTAATGGGCCTAAAGGCTGCACATATCTTTTCTCAGTACAGTTCTGGTTACAAGAGCAGGTAATTTACCTCAAAGCCAGTCAAGCAGTTTCTGTAACAGGACTACTCTGCATCATACAAGGTGTTGGGAGTGAGAATTGTGGTTTTCATTATTAAGTGATATTGTTTGAAAGTCTCTAGAACATTTTACATCTTTATTTGAGACTTATGTTTTACTTCCAGGTTTATATAAAAGGTTCTGCAGTAAAGGAATACTTTATGAGGCGTCCCTGCCCACGGCAAGGGGGTTGGAACAAGATGATGTTAAGGTCCTTTCCAACCCTAACTGTTCTATGATTTGATCACTGTCTATACCATGATTCATTATAGAAAGAATGAAGGGAAGTTAAGACTTTTGAAGTATTCATGCCTTTTTCTATCTGCATCCATCATCAAATGTACTTTTGATTTCTGACTTGCAAGAGCTTTCTTTTAGATAAATCGCCTTCACTTCCATAGTTTGGCTTGTGCTGGAATAACACCACTTAGGCTTCAGCGATACACTGGAAGATGACTGGTTAATTACAGTGACCTGCTGAGTGCAGCTGGTTTGTCACAATGAGCTCAAAAGGTCACGATTCCACAAACCGTGAACTGGTTCTTCCTGTATCAATGACTACTGAATTCATTCTATAAGCCTCGTCTTGCCTTGATTTCTACCAGTGTTGGATGTCACATAACAAGCAGATATTTCACAATCTGACTCTTCAGTTTAGAACTTTATGCTTAAAACCATTACTACCGTGACCCATATTTTACAAGCATAAGTTCATTTGCAAACTTTAACAAATTGGCTGAAGCTGAAGCTGTCAACACTGCCTCCGGGTCTGCCCTTGTAAGACCCCCACTTTGTACAAGTTCTGACCTTTGAGCAGGCAGGTGGACATCTCTGGGAGCTGCATGAGTTGCTCCATTCCTAATGAGCCCATTATGTGCTGGGAGTAACACAGCCAAAGCACATCCTCATTTGTGGATGCATTAGCCCACCACACTAACTAGGCTGGATCGCCTCCAGCACACAAACCTACTCAGTTAGTATCGTGGTTGAAGATGTCCCAAATGTTGCTCTTTTCAGCAAAGAATGGCAATAACAGTGATACTTTGCATTTTTAATTGAAACCTACAGGGAGAATCTGCACAGTATTTAATGTGTTTTTCCCCACATTTTTCAGGCAGTTCTTACCATGATGTTGCATCAATTCACACAGCAAGTTTAGATTCTGGTCTGGAATTATCAATCCAAATAGTTTCAGTCAGCTTGTGTGGAAATTCTGTAGTTCACATAATCAATTAAAATATATTGAACAGTTCTCCTCCCAAAATTCAAATCATAGCAAAAGAATTTTTCAACTCTGAAGAGTCATTTTGTGACCAAGTTGCAGGAATGGAATGAGGAATGTACCACGGCTGCAAACCTGTTTCAATGGGCAATTCACCTTTCCTTAAACTAGGCCGAAGGATTCTAAAAGGACGTTTATTGTTATGGTATCTGTGGTCATCACTAGCATACAGCCTTACAACCCAGTGGCTGTGAACAGCTTCCAAATCTGGTGTGTCAGATGATAAAGTGACCCTAAAGTACTTCTAGTTGCCATAACTGAGACTACTTTGTCCCATTAACACAACAGATGGAGTATGCTCAAACAAAAGGAGTTGTTTTCCACTCGTTCCAACTCTCAGACTGAGTATGGACATTTACATGCCATGTCTTCTCCAAATGCCAAGTGCATTAGATCCAGTCCTTCAGCCCAAACCTTTCTTCTCTGTTTTCACAGAGTATGCTCACAACCCGTATCCATTGGTGACCCAATGGCAATACAATTCCAATTCACTGTTTGTGAATCAGCAGCTGAAACCTTGTTCTCCTTTGCCTTCAGCTCCCAAACGATCAAAGCAATAAAGTTGTTACCAATTTTGTTCTGTTTCCAAAAATATAGCGTTAAAAAGCGAAGGAAGGAACAAAGGGGTCTGATTCAGGCAAGGTTTGGTAAAGAGAAGGTGCTGTTGCCCATTCAAACTTGAGCAAGCCAGCTGGAATGCTGAGGCAATAGATGCAGTGCTGGGACTAAACTTCAGAATGCTGGTATGGACAATCAATGGTGTTTTTATCTTTTGTTGGCATGTTGTCCCGTAGGGATTGTCCTATCTTGTGGATGATCCCCTGTTATCTGTACGAACTTCCACCATCAAGGTACTTCCTTTTTAATTCAATGTTTTCTCTATGGTCTCTGTCACGTGTCTGGAGAGTGTTTGCTTCCTTTCTTGGTCCTGGTCTTGTCTTTGGGAGTTTGTGCACGTGGCTGTTTTTGGCTATCCAGTGCTCGTTTCCTGTGAGTTGTTATTGTATCAGTGAACACTGATGCCTGCCTTCACCATGGTTCTTTTGTTTCCCATCCTTTCTGATGCTGAGAGGGACTGGATAAAGTATGTTCACTAGAATTACTTGGGTATTCACACACACATACGAGTTCTTTCTTTCAGGATTTCTTAGCACAAAAGCTCTTGACAGATTCAGCTTTCTGAACTTCCTTCCCCTCACACTTCCCACTCTCACCTGCCATGTTTCTTTCCACTTAGCTAATAGCACCCCACAAACCGCAGGTATGCTTTGAACCCAACAGCTGATACAAGCAACATCCTGCAGTTAAGTAATGTGCCAAGATGGTCATCGAAATAAAAGCCAATTCTGGACCCAGGCACAAAGAAAAAGGAGTGTGAATCTCCTCTTGGGTTTCATAGCCATGTGGTTATAACCACTGCAGACTCTGAAGCCAATTCTGGAATCCAGACACAGAAATGAAATTTGAACACAATATATTAGCTATCTCAGACTACATAAGCAAGGCAGCACTGACAAGACTATCATGCCTCTGTAATAGCAACAGCTTCTTTTATTCCCCTACTGATGCAGGAGAGCAAACTCTTCTCTTGGTTCACTGAGTGAAAGGGCAGAGTCATTTCTTTTTTAAGATCCACCTAGTGCAAATATTTTCAGGCAGAGAGGCAGAGAACACCTCCCACAGCCAAGGGGCTGACACATCCCACCCGCAGAGCAAAAGGTGCCGTTGAAAACAAGCTGCTGTGGCACAGAGAGTAATGGCACTGTTTCTT